GAAGGAGTTAGTGATTTAGCACTTCATTTTCTTGCTAAATTAAAAATTATGGTTGTTAAAGACATTGAAAGAGATGACATTGAATTTATTTGTAAAACAATTGAAGCAGTTCCAATTGCTAGTATTGATGGATTTACTGAAGATAAATTAGGACATGCTGAAAATGTAGAAGAAGTTAGTATTGAAGATGAAGATAAAATAGTTAAAATTACTGGTGTTAAAGGAACTGCACCATGTGTTTCAGTTCTTGTTAGAGGGGCAAATAGATTAGTTCTTGATGAAGCAGAAAGGTCATTACATGATGCATTATGTGTTGTTAGATCCTTAGTAAAATGCAAATATTTATGTCCAGGAGGAGGAGCTATGGAAATGGAATTATGTTGTAAATTAAAACAATGGGCAGAAACATTAAAAGGAGAATATGGATTATGTGTTAAAGAATATGCAGAGGCATTTGAAATTATTCCATATACACTTGCTGAAAATGCAGGATTAAATCCAATGGAATTAGTAACTCAATTAAAATTAGCTCATTTAAATGGAGAAAAGAATGCAGGTATTTCAATGAGAAAAGATAATAAAGTACAAGGAAGTGTTGATGATATGACTTCACTTAATGTAGTCAATCCATTATTAGTATTCTTATCAGCAGTAAAACTTGCTACCGATACAGTTGCATTAATATTAAAAATTGATAATATTGTTGTAGCAAGATGAAATTAAAAGAAAAGGAAAAGAGAATTGAATCAATTTGAAAAAAGAATCTTTTGAATGAATTTTTTTAGAAATAAGAAAAAGGTAAATGATAAATTAAAAAAGAACTAAATAATAACAATAATTACAAAATGATTTATAATATTAGAATAGTTACTAATTCAGGAATGTTAATGTATGAAAAAATGTGGTCAAAAATATGTGAAGATATGGATAATTTTAGTACTATTGTACCATCATTACTTACTGCAATGATGAAAACAGGACAATCTGCTATTGGTATGTCATTAAAATATATTGCTATAAGTGGAATATCAGTTTCTATTGCAATTCATTCAGGAACTGGAATATCTTGTTATGTATTTTATGAAGAAAAAGATGGAGAAGAAGTAGGTCATTATGTAAGTGAAGCAGTATTAAGAGAGTTTATTAAATCATATCAATTAGAAGATGAAGAAAGTGTTAAATTAAAAGATTTTAAACAACTTCAAGACATGTCAATTTTTCAAAATTTTAATGTTTCAATTGTTAGTGCAATTAGAAAAAGTATTAAAATTATTCTTCAAGACTTTAAGAAAAAACAAGGTGTTCTTTCTGCAGAAGTCTTTGATCATGAACGTGCTTCAAATGATATTGATTTACAAACAAGTGGATTTGAAATGTTAGCAAATATTAAAACTATGGTTTTACTTATTGATTCGATGATGAGTCTTAAAAATATGGGAAATAGTCAATTAAATGTAATCGAATTCACAACAAATCGTTTAATTATTCAAAAAGTTAGAATGGGCTGTTTAGCTGTTGTTGCTCAAAAAAGTATTCTTCCAAATGAATTGGAATTAGAAATTAAAAAATATACTTCTTTAATTAATATCGTTCAAACTCTTATTGCTTCATTACAGTAATTGTATTGTTTTCTTTTATTCTTTTTGTTATATATCCAATTATTGTAATTTTATTTTGTTTTTCTTTAGAACTGAAAATAGAAAATACAACTCAAAAACGTTCAAGAACTAATTAATCAGAGAATAATAATGGCACCAAACTTGCTTCTTGAATCATATAATCGTATTGTATATGCTAGAGTTCTTGAGAAATTAACTACTGAAGGTGGAATTAAAAAGGGATTAAAAGAAAAATTAGCTGATTTTAATCAATCAATCTGGTATATCGAAAGGACAAAAGAAAAGATGACTATTTCTGTATCAACTCCATGCTGGAAACAATTAAAAGAAAATAGGTCATTGGAATTCTTACAAAAAGTGTATGGATCTGACCTTGTTGAAGCAGACAGTAACTCTGAATATAATCTTATTTTAACTATCCCTGAAAAACATGATAAACCAGAAGAATTTGCAATGAATGCTGCTAAATTATTAACTAATATGTTAATTGGACCAGCTGTTGTTCTTGCTGATGAAGTTAAGAATAATAAAGCTGATGAAAAACTAGTTCAAATTGATTATAGACCAGGAGAATCTTATTGGCTTAAACCAAATGGTGATCGTTTAACTGTAATATTTTCAATTAAATTTGATGATAAAGATGATGCTGTGTTTGGTCGTGTCTTTATTAATGAATTCTCTAAAAGTGCAGCAGGTTGTCCATCATGTGATGTTGTTACAAGAAAGAATGCACCACCACCTTCAGAACTTAAAACAGTTGAAGGACTTGCTGAGGACAACTGTTATATTTCATTCTTATTAGAAAAGAGACATTTGAATAATCCACAAAAGACTCTCGAAGTTTTAATGTCATGCAGAAATTATATCAACTTCCATATTAAATGTAGCAAAGCTTTCTTACACATTAGAATGAGAAATAAAGTTTCTCACTTACAACTTGTTTTGAATAGAGCTAAACCAGAAAGAGAAGTTGAAAAGAAAACTGCTTCAGGAAGAACTTTCAAAAAATAAAAACAAGTTTAGAAATTAACGTTCTTATCATTGTTCTTTTTATTTTCATTTTTAAGAAATAGGTTTTATAAAAATAATTCATTAATCTAATCATATAATTATTCTTCTTTTCCTTTTTAAAAGAAAATTTTGTTTTAATTCCTTTTCATGAAGTGAAATTATTTTTTTTTCTTCTCTTTTGATATTTCTGGTATTAACAAATTTTGTAATTGACTGAAACAATTATATTATTTGTTGTGAGATAAATATTATAGGTGGCACAATATTTGTTTTAGTATTACTGATGATAGTGCTGTTTTATTATTTTTTGAGTTATAGACAATTCTATTTTATAACTACTTAGACAAGTCATTTATTTTTATTATTTTATTCATCACTCATTTCAATTATTCTCTTTCTAATGAAAAAAATCCTATTAAGGCTATGGTATATTCCAAATGTTTTATGTTACAGTTAATGTCATATTGTTGGTCTGGTGTTGTTTGGTTTTATTCTTGTTGTGTATTATTTCTCTTTTTCTCCTTGTTCTTATTTTTTATTTCATCGTATTGTTATTTAATGTTTGTTGTGATTTATCTTTTCTCTTCTTTACCTTATCACTATTGTATCATTGGGTTCAGATAGTATCATCGTTACTTTTTATTTCTCTATCATGTTTACTTTCTCATTCTTTCATTTAACTTTTATTATGAATTTTTCATTTTCATTTCTATCATTAATTTTTGCTTTTATAATCACTTCTGGTGATGTGGTTTTATTTTTTATCCTCTTCTATTTTCTTGATATTAATTATTGTTATTGTAAAAATAATAAAAATATACAATGTTTAATATGAATATTGAAATAATAAATGAAGTTATGTATGTTTTTGATGTGTACAGTTATTTAAACATATTTATTTAAGTTAATAGTCATTAAAATAAAAATGGAAGAGTTAACAGTCAATTGTTTAAAGAAGTAGTAGAAATACTTCCACAGATTCAACAATCAATTGATGATATTAATAAGAATTATCAATATTATTTAGGAAGTATTAAAAAGAGAAGAGCAAAGAAGAGAGATTTCAAAGATTGAGAAGAATGAAAGAAGTTAGTCAAATTGAAGAATGAACAAATAGAAAAGTATGAAGTATAATATTTGAATCAGATAATGATGACTGGAATGAAAATAAATCAGTATTTGATAAAAATAAAGAACATAAAATAATTCTTATTAAAGATAAAGAAGGAAATAAATTTAGATATTGGTTCTAAAATTGAATTAGTTGAGTATAATATAATTGAATTAATTGGATTTGTATTTTCATCAGAATCAAAATGAAGAGAGAAATGAATGAAGAAAAAGATATTAAAGAATAACTGTATGTAATAAAATAATTAATCAGATAATTATTTGTTTAAAATTTATATGGAATGAGATATTATGGGTACGAAAATTAGCAAAGAAAAAATGCATCTAAATAATTTACAAAAAAGAAAAAAGATGCAAAATATTTTGCATCCATAGAATTTTCCATTTATTATATTTTGCTCCTAAAAAAAATAAAAAATAAAAAGTATAATAAATACAGAATATGTATATATTTATGTTTATATTTTATAATCATTTGTATTCATTTTGTATGAAATATTAATGAAATAGATGATTTGATTATTCATAGTTATTTTTATTCTTTTTATTCTTTTATTTATGTATCTTAATTTTATATATTTATTTCTCTGTTTATA